TTTGGTCCCAACTGGGAGAGTGGTTGGTGGTAGGTAGAGCCCAGGAATTTTGCTAAACATTCTACAATGCACAGGACAGCCCCCTCGCAAGAAAAAATCATCCAGCCCAATATGTTAAGAGTGCCAAGGCTGAGAAACCCTAGTCTAACTGAGCAGCCAGAACTTCTATCATAAAATGGAGGAGAGAAATGGTACAGGGGATAACCAGCAATTTCTGCCATATTTACATATGCTAACGGTTACATGATTGAAGAGGATTCAAATGATATGTTTTCCCAGGGGTATCTCTCTCCAGCAGGGATCAAAACTTTAAGTCAATGGAGCTTCAGGGACTATCAAGAATTAGCTTGCAAGACAGAGAGGATTGTGGTTGGCTAGTCCTGAAATCTCACCCCCTGGGTGGCCCACCAGAGTCACCAGGGAGGCCAGAACCCACAAAGCCTCCCAGGGAGACAGTGCTCCACAGGTGGGGTTCAAAGCCTGGCCTGCAGCGGTTCCCCTTCCACAAGGTTATCCTGGAGATAACTTGGGACCTTTTGAAACACATTTGTGATTGGTTCTGTTTTCCAAGGAGGTGAAATCTGGGCTGGCCACAAAAGAGGGTGAGAGATAAGGGGGCCTTAACTTTCAGGAAAAATACAACAGTAAAATTTTGGGGGTATTCATTGGGCAACAGTAAATTACTTGTCTTAAATCTCTGCATGAGAAATGCCAACACAGAGGAGTAGGGATTTTAATATATTTTGTGAAGCTATCCCTATTCAGCTTGGCTTTCTCAGTATCTGTGGTTATTGGGCATCTACAGCATTCCAGAGACTGTCCTTAGCACTTTATAGATGTTACCTTCTTTAACTTCTCTACCAACCCCACAAAAAAACTGTAACTGTTACCCCCATACAGAGAATCAGAGAGATGAAGTAATTTGCCTGAGGCCACACAGCTAGTAAGATGCAGTGAGACAAGTTTTGGCCTCAGGAATGTCTGGCCCTAAAGCTCATATTCTTCCCACAACTACCTCTTTATCTGCCAGGACGGTCACATGGGATCTACCCTATTGTTAAATGTCTACGCATCCCGGGAAGGAGGTTCACCCCAAGGTTCACCCCATCCCGTTACTCGCTTTTGTCTCACCCATAAATAAACCTCAGCTGGTGGATAAACGGGGCAAAGAATGGAGTCACCTATTCTCTAATGGCCAGCTGGGAAACCAGAGCACAGAGTGGTCAAGTGGCTTGTTCAAAGCCACACAGCAAGTCAGAAAGTAACTCAAAAGCCCTGTCCCTCAGCTTTAACGAATAAACAAACAGCTAGGGTGCCACAGTCCCTACAGCCCTTCAGGTCTTGCCAGGAAAGCTGAGCTATTCATCTGGGGAAGAGGTACATGAGGGAAGAGACACGAGATTTTCATAGCGGTGGGACTCCTGGGGCTGCACAGAGGAAACCAGCCACGAAGAAAGGTTGTTTTTGTCAGCGGGAAGTAAACAGCAGTGACTCAAAGACACACGTGCTCTGAATCCATTGAGCAGCCAGGGCCCATTTTTAGATGGATGCTCTTTTGAGCCATAACCACACCCAGTGCCACAAGCCGGCATTTGTCAACAGGAAGCCCATCCCTGTGATACATCTTGTCTCCCTCCTGCTGTCCGCCAGGGGTGACTGCTGTGGGCCAGTGGGAACCAGAAACAAGGGGCTAAGCCACCAGACTGCAGGAGCCAAGCCCAGGGAATGACCTTCATGCCTCTGAGGAAGGCAGTTGTGTCCAGCAGCCAGACCTCAGATTTTCCCAGGCCAGGTCTACCACGAAGGGGCCTGAAATAGCTCTGAGGTTCTGTGCCCACGAGGCAAGGAGGGCAGGGGCAGGGACTGTGGGCAGTGGGAATGAGCACAGTGCCACTTTGTTGGGGAGGTGAGAAGCTCTGCCTCTACCAGACTGTGGCACCTGCCAGAGACATAGCTGAGCAGGGATGCTGGCCCATGGGCTCAGCTGAAAGAGAAAGTCATTTGTAAGGCTACAAAAAATGGTACCATGAACCTGAAACTAATCACGAGGAAAACAATCAGACAATCTGAACAGAGGGACGTTCTCTCAGATAACAGCCTGGACTCAAAAAGTCAGTGTCATAGCAGCATTATCCACAACAGCCAAAAAGTAGAAACAACCCAAAGGGCTATCAACAGATGTATGAATAAACATAAATAATATTCCACTGTATCAATATGCATATAGTGGAATATTATTCAGCCACAAAAAAGAATAAAGTTCTGATTCATGCTACAACATGAATGAACCTTGAAAACATTATGCTAAGTGAAAGAAGCAAGTCGCTAAAGGCCACATATTATATGACTCCATTTACATGAAATGTTCAGAATAAGCAAACCCATAGAAACAAAAAAGTAGATAAGTGGTTGGTCTGGGCTTGGGGAAACGGGGGAATGCAAAATGACTGCTAATGGGCATGGGGTTTCTCTTGAGCATAAAACTTTCTGAAATTATTAAGTGGTGACAGTTCCATAACTTTGTGAATATATTTTTTAAAAGCCACTGAATTGTACACTTTCGAGGAAGGAATTTTATGGAACGTGAATCATATCTCAATTTTTTTAAAGTTTTAAAGACATTACAACTAAATACAATGTGTAGTCCTTAATTGGACTCTATACTGAAAAAGAAAAAAAAAAAAAAAACAGCTATAAGGAACATTATTGAGGCTGGGCATGGTGGCTCACACCTGTAATCCCAGCACTTTGGGAGGCCAAGGTAGATGGATCACTTGAAGTCAGGAGTTTGAGACCAGCCTGGCCAACATGATGAAGCCTTGTCTCTACTAAAAATACAAAAAAAAGCCGGGCGCCGTGGCTCAAGCCTGTAATCCCAGCACTTTGGGAGGCCGAGGCGGGTGGATCACGAGGTCGAGAGTTCGAGACCATCCTGGTCGACATGGTGAAACCCCGTCTCTACTAAAAATACAAAAAATCAGCTGGGCATGGTGGCGTGTGCCTGTAATCCCAGCTACTCAGGAGGCTGAGGCAGGAGAATTGCCTGAACCCGGGAGGCGGAGGTTGCGGTGAGCCGAGATCGCGCCATTGCACTCCAGCCTGGGTAACAAGAGCGAAACTCCGTCTCAAAAAAAAAAAAAAAAAATACAAAAAAAAGTATCCAGGCATGGTAGTGCACGCCTGTAGTCCCAGCTACTTGGGAGTCTGAAGCAGGAGAATCACTTGAACCCAGGAGGTGGAGGTTGTAGTGAGCTGAGGTCATGCCAGTACACTCCAACCTGGGCAACAGAGTGAGGCTCGAGACAGTTAGAGACATTTGAAAATAAACAAGGTATTAGATGATAGTATCAGTGATGATAGTTCTCAGGTCATATAGGGCAGTGTCTCTGTTCTTGGTAGATACGTGCTGAAATATTTAGAGTGAAATGTCATGACGTCTGCAACATACTCTCAAGTGGCTCAGTATTTACAGCTAACCTCTCAGTTGTGAGAAAGGACAAAGTTAAGAAATTGGTTATTATTTTGTACAGTGTTTAAGAGCATGGGCTATAGAGCCAGACTGCCTGGAAAAACATGTATCTCTGCCCCTTACCAGCTGTGTGACCTAGGGCAAATTACTCAACCTCTCTGTGCCTCATTCTTCTCCCTTTAAAGATAGGAATGATGATGAAGATGATAACAATAGCAGCATCTACTTCCTGGTGTTATTTGAGTTTAAATGTAAAGCCCTTTGGAGAAGGCCTGGCACACTGAAAGTGATCTGAATGTGTTTAGGGAAAAAATCTGGAACCAGGCTGATCCTAGCAGAGACCAGAACTTCATGCTTCTTCCTCCCTAGAATCTCACAGGCTACCAGGAAAGAGAGCACTTTCAAAAGGGCCAAACTACTGGGAGAGGAATGATAGGTGAACAGGCCAGAGAAAGGGAAGGCCAGCCACAAGGGGCAGGACCTCAGAAATCAAGTCTAGGAGGGTGGGATGGGACGGGAGTGGGGAGAGAGCAGATGTTGCATAGGTCGGGGGGGCTTACAATTGGGTGCCCTGAACCAAAGAAGGGGAGATGGGCTTAGGACCTCCCATGTTCTAGCTCAGGAAACTGGGCCCCAGAGAGGGAAGTAATAAGACCTGGGGCTTACAACTCATAGTGGCAGAGCTGGGGAAGTATTGACGGGACTCCTGGTCCCCTGCTGTACCCTGATAGGAAGCCTCAGGATGTGGATCCTGCTGCAATTGAAAAGAAAAACACCTGGATACTTAAATGATGAGCATTATTAAAATGTTCTCTGAGGGATTACCATTGCTTTCCGTACTTTATCTCTTTCCCACACCATCTCTTGTCCCATGAATGGAAAGCTGTTATTGAAAGGAGACATATTACCTAATATTTATTGTTTCTTACAAGACTAAGAGCCATGCTAGGAAAATTACAAAAACCAGTCAGATAGGTTCTATTCCTATTTCCATTCTGCAGATGAGAAAAATGAGGTTTACCAAGATTAAGGAGTTTGACCGAGGTTACAGCTAATAAATAACAGGACAAGATTTATACTAGATCCTTCCGGCTGCAGAGTTGTACTGTTGATGCTGTACCAGTGGTTTTCAGAGTGGGTGCTTGTGCCCCAGGAGCTGAGTGGGAAGTAACATTAGAATGTCTATTTTTTATTTATCCTTTTAAAATCCCTACATTTTAAAAAGGTTTTTATTTTTTTAGAGATAGGGTCTTACTATGTTGCCCAGGCTGGAGTATGGTAGCTATTCACAGGTGCAATCATAGCTCACTGTAGCCCTGAACTCCTGGGCTCAAGCAATCCTCCTGCCTCAGCCTCCAAGTTTCTGGGATTCCAAGTGTGTGCCATCATGCCCGACCAAATCCCTATTTTTTATGTAGGTCTTATAAGGTACCCAAAACATTAGCCCACTCGTTCATGTGTAAGCAGACTCTATAGGGCAGCCACACAACAGCCCACCCCAGCCCCACTTCCCTTGTTGCCTAATGCTTACCCAGACTCCCTTGTGGCCAGTGAAGCCATGTGACCAACATAGCCAATGAGACATCAGGGCACATTCACCACGGGACAGACATTTTGCTTGAAATGGGGCAGACATTTTGCTTCCTAAAAAAGGGACAACAAGTATTAGAACATGACCGGCTAGCTGCTGCCACCCTCCATTTTCCTGCTGAAAAGGCAGATGCAATATTAACATGTGATTCTGAAGGGACAGACGTAAGAACAAAAGTCAACACACTAAAGATGAAGGAACTTCAGAAAGCTGGAGAGATAGCCCAGCCCGTAATGACATCCTTGATCTAATAAAACCACCTCAGACCATCCTCTCCTCTATCTCATTTTAGGTACCAGTAAAGGTCCTCAGAGATCTAACAGTTACTGCCTGGCCTTTCCGTTATTTGCCATTTCATGCAACTGGACTGACTAATGGGAATGAGTCCATAAACGTGCATCTATTAGGGATACGTGCTCAAATTTTTTTTACTGGGATGGAATCATGTGATAGGGATTACAAAATACGGACCCTACCATTTTCTGCAGTGCTCTGGGGCATAGGGGGCAGATAAACACGCCCAAAATGATGAACTCTGTCCCACTCTCTGGAATGTTGGGGGAGTGACGGGGGATTGAAGTGTGTGTTTGTAAACTGGCTCTCAGAAGAATCCAATCTGTGCAAACTGCTGAGTGCTTGGAATTCTGTTTCCCCCCATTAGTTTTGCTTGCCTATAGAAACTCACAAAAGAAAGTGGGCCCTATGTTGCTTCTCATTCTCCAGAACTCTCAGCAGGTTTAAAGCTGCCTTCCTGATGACCCAAGTCCAGCAGGTAGAAACTGAGAGCCGAGAACTGAGGACACGGCCCTCTGCATTCCATGTGAGTGAGCAGAAGAGGAGCAGGAGACCGTGTATCACCAGAAACGAGGTCCTTGCATCTGGAGAGATTAAACAGGGCTGCAGAGGACGGGACAATCACATTGCAGTGGCTTAAACTAGATAGAAGTGTACTCTGTCATGTAAAAAGTCTGAGAGTAGGGAATCTGGATTGATATGGTGGCTTTCTGGTAATCTGAGACTCCACCCCATATATATTTCTGCTGTACCATCCTAGTGGCTTTTATCCTCAAAGTCTCCATATTGTCTGAGACAGTCGCTGAGCTCCAGCTCTCACAGCTGAAATTCTAGGCAATGAGGAAAGTTAAAAAGGGTCCATCCTTTCTACCCCTTTAAGAGTTTTCCTGAGGCCGGGCGTGGTGGCTCAAGCCTGTAATCCCAGCACTTTGGGAGGCCGAGGCGGGTGGATCACGAGGTCAAGAGATCGAGACCGTCCTGGTCAATACGGTGAAACCCCGTCTCTACTAAAAACACACAAAAAAGTAGCTGGGCATGGTGGCATGTGCCTGTAATCCCAGCTACTCAGGAGGCTGAGGCAGGAGAATTGCCTGAACCCAGGAAGCGGAGGTTGTGGTGAGCCGAGATCGCACCATTGCACTCCAGCCTGGGTAACAACAGCGAAACTCCGTCTCAAAAAAAAAAAAAAAGAGTTTTCCTGAGGTTTCTGCTTACATATTACTGACTGCAAGTGAATCTGGGAATTTTTTATTTTACCTGGGCACAAGCTGCCTTGAATACAATTGAGGTTCTCTTGCTAAGGAAGAAGTGGATTTGGGGTGGCAACTAGCACCTCCTGCCCTGGTCTCTAAAAGCAAGAGGCATCTCCCGTCAGAGGAGAGACGATGGGACCAGAAATCAAAGGACATGCTCTAACCTCGATGATGAATCCGTGACTTTGAGTGGGTCTCAGAACCTTGCTGAGCCTCAGCCCCAAGCAGAGTGCCATGGGAGAGTGAAATGAAACGATGCTGTGGAAGGGCTCCCTAAACCATTAAGGACTCTTCCCATGTAAGCAATTGCTATTTTTGCTGCTGCTGTCATGAATAGTAACCGTCGCTGGCCGTGCTCTGCGGGGAGAAGGGCGGAGGAGCCTGGAGGAAGAAGGAGGACAGCATTTACTGGGACACATAAAAGAAGGAAGGAGGCGCTGCTGCTATAGCTGTGCATGAGGAACACCTCTGCAACAGGGGTCTGTTCCCCCAGTGCCACACGCCCACGTCATGTAAACACCTACAGTCTGGCAAAGGCCCGTGCTGCCTGCTTCACTCCTCAGGGCCCCAGACAGACAGGCAAACAAACCCCAAACTGTGGGGGAAGCCCAAACACCCTGGGGAGAGGGGAAAGCCTTCAGGAGCAGAAACCAAGGCCTGGGTCCCCACAGGGCCAAAATAACCTGCCGATCGAGTCAACTGGACAGCACATTGGTCAAGCCAGTGGGGGAGAAACTGAAACCCCAGCCAGATCTATTATTTAGCAGTTTGTCACAAAGCAAAAATAAAAATTATCCCGTCCCCCCCGACCCCAACCACGGGGTTGTTTGGTGTCAGGCCTCACCTTGGGTCAGCCCAGGCCAAGTTGATGTTTCAGACTGGCTTCCTCCACAGCATCCAGGAGGGTGTCTGGGAGGCGGACTCCTCATGTCGGGAGAAGGGGCAACTTCTCCTCTAGGCCTCCGGGCCCTATGTCCTTGACAGCAGCACCCCAAGGGGCTGCAAACAGCCCGTTTCTGACTGAAGGTAGTGAGAGGGCTCAGTGAGAGCCCTGTGGTACACTTGAAGACCTTTCATGACACAGTCCACCACCAAGTATGCTAAATGCCTACTCCCTGTCTGCAAGCCCAGGATGATGGTGGGTTTCTGTTCCAGGGGCTGTGAGCTTGGGATCAAGAGCCTCTCTTGATGCCACTGTACCCCATTTCCCCCATGGCTCCCGCTCAGTGTGAGCTGTAGACAGTCTGCTGTTTGGAGTCCAAAAACTAATTGGTTACAGCTCATGGAGGCCTGGGGAGGGGGCAGTATGAATTACGGGCAGTGTAGAAAATAAGTCTTGTTCCACAGTCCCTTTGGCTTGGCACAGGTTAAGTGTGTATAAGTCAGGGTTCTGTAGCTTGCCTTTCTAGTTTGTCATTCCCTTCACTCAAGACTCAAACCAGAACTTCAAAAAAAACACAAAGTATTTTCTAGAAGTAAACATGTACGGAAAAGAACACACGTAAGTGCAAAACAGCTGGAGAATTTCCCCAAAGTGCACACACCCAGGTCACAGCATCTAAATCAGGAAGCAGAACGTTGCTAGCCCCAGAAGCCCCTTAGTGCCCCTTTCCAATAATTATTCCCCAAGGGTAACCCTGTCCTGACCTCCAGCACCGTAGATGAGTTTTGTCTGTTTTTGAACTTTGTATAAATGGAAGCATACAGGATGCCTTTTGTGTCTGGCTTCTTTCACACAACATTATGTCCGTAAGATTCACTCAGCCTGTTGTGTATGGTTGTCATTTATTCTCACAACTGCATAACATTTCAGAAGGCATTCATCCATTCTGCTATAGATGGACATCTGGGCTGTTCCCATTTGGGAGCGACCACAAAAGTGCGGCCAAAAGCAGAACTTTTCTTTTCACAATCAGGTTCCATAGTCTTTCCTGAAAAGTGTTTTATTGTGGTGAAATATGTATAACATATACTCTGCCATTTTAACCATCTTTAAAGTGCACAAGTCAGTGGCATAATTACATTCAATGTGTGCGATCATCACCATAATCTATTTCCAAAACTTTTTCCTCATTCCAAACAGAAACTCTGTAGCCATTAAGCAATGACTCCTCATTTCTACCTCTAATCTACTATTTATCTCTATAAATTTGCCTATTGTAGATACTTTACATAAGTGGAATCACTCCATACCTGTACTTTTGTGTCTTCTTTCACTTAGCATAATGTTTTGAAGATTCTCCTGTGTGTTAGCATGGATCAGGACTTCATACCTTTTTATGGCTGAAAAACATTCCATTATATGGATGTACCACATTTTATTTATCCATTCATCTGCTCATGAACATCTGGGTTGTGTCTGCCTTTTGGCTCTTGTGAATAATGCCACAGTGAGCAGTGTTATACACTTACCTGTCTGACCCACAGCCTTCTACTGAGGACTTGCTGTGTGTCAGGAGCTGAGATAGGTACTCACCCAACCACTAGTAGACTGTCATGTGAATGAATTGGAATTATTATCCCCAGGCTACAGATGAGGAAACGGAGGCTCAGAGAAGCCAAGGAACTTTCCCAGAGTCATAGGGCTGATATCAAATTGGCTGAGGTCATGGCTCAAATCGAGACCTTTTGACTTCGAGTCTGTATTCTTTGCATCACTCCCATTTCTTACTTGCAATCCTGGTCATGGAGGAACTTAGAAGATTCTGGTTTATGACCTAGTTCTTGCCTTAGTTCCACGTAGAAAACTTTCCCTTGGAGCCACTAACCTTGGACTTGGACTTTCTGGAAGCGTTTTCCTCTCTCCTGGCAAACGGCCCAGGACAAGGGAACAAGAGAGGCGTCTTGGCCCTCTTGACTCAGTCCTGAAACTAGTGCTCTAGTTTTGTTGCTGTTGTTTGTTTTTTTAGGCTACGAAGTTAAGTCATATTCCTGTCCTCCTGCCACCAGCCTCCTGAGTGGCCCAGAGCTCAGGCTATATTTCTTAGTTTCTCTCTTGGTACAAAAGACAGAATTTCTGAGACCTAATTTGATTTTTACTCAGGGGCACAGAGAGAACCACTGGATGCAAAGCATCCTCTTTCTCTGCCCTGTCACAGTGTTTTGGTGAAAGACACCTACTGTGTGCTGGGTCGCCTGCAGTTGTGCTCTGGGAAGTGGTCACATGTGTGATGCAGTCCCTGCACTCAGGGTCTCCCTGTCTGGCTGAGGAGGCTGGACACAGCTATGGAAACCTAATGATCAAGCCCATCAAGCAAGATTCTAACTGTACAGGAAGGCCACAAGGAGTTCTGGAGGGAGGGTGTGGCTATGGAGCCCAGAGTTCAGCGTGATGTTTCCTCGCAATGTTCACCATGCAAATGTTTATTGAGCGCTTGCAACGTGCTAGGCTTCTTGCTGGGCCCTAAGGAGCCAGCCACAAACGCAGGGAAATCCCAGGACCTGCCAGAGCTGTTCTCAGGCTCTAAAGTGAGGAAAACTGTGCACAAATCCTGTGGCACGCTGGGCACTGAGCTCCAGACCCTGTGCAGGCGGTAGTCGTCTCTGCTCAGAGTAGGAGCTTTGTGGGCCTCCCACCCAGCATCAGGAGAATAAGGGCCCACGTTGCAGGCCGGCGATCTAAGTCGCGGCCACGGGGCGCCCAGCCGGGGTCCCCAGCCCCACCCCCAGTCTCGCTGTCCCCGTGCCGCGCCACCTCCCCAGGCTGACAAATGCGCCTTTCAGGAGCCTCCGCCCCTGCTGGAAAACTCCCGCGCGGTCGGTCTCCGGGGCGGCCGGCGTCTGCTTTCCTCGAGGTGAGGGATTCCGCGCCCCCGACGAGGTACAGCTGCAACGCGCCCGCAGGCGCCGGCCGAGCCGGGCCTGTCTGTGACTCACCGCCCCCGAGTGCTAGTCTCTGGCCCGCGGGCCCCCAGGGGACCCGGGGAGCCCGCACCTCCTCCCCAACTCCGATCCAACACACTTTTAGATGTTGCATAAATATATACATTCCATATCACACATACTTTTTAAGTCTGTTCTCTTTTCTTTTCCTTGACTTTTCTTGCCCTCCATCTCCAGGTAACTCATACTAAGAGCCTAAAATGAACCTTTCTGTATTTTTCTCCATGTTCATGTAAACATATGCAAACATCTCACTATACATTTACGTATACACAAAGGCATATAAATGGGATATTGTTAGAGATTTTTCTGTATCTTTTCTTGTCCATGACTGGTATGGTTGCATAGCAGTCGTTTCTTTAAAAATTATTATTTATATACAATTCACCCATTTCAAGTTTATAGCTGGATGAATTTGGGTAATTGTACTTAATCAACAGTTCCCTCACTCTAGAGTTCCTCTGCCCCTTTGCAGCAGATCCTCTCTCCTCACCCCCATGGTGTAGATAATTGATTCAACTATCCCCTTCTGACAGGCATCCACTGTTGCCAGTTTTTTGCTATTTTGAGCCATACGGTGATAAAAGTCCTTGTCACATTATCTTTGTGTGCCCAGAAGTTGGATTGCTAGGCTGAAGTGTCCCTGGATTTAATTTTAGAAGATATTTCCGATTGCTTTTGCAGAAGGTCTAACACAATGTCCACGTCCTGGCCAATAGTCGATGAGGGTGCTTTTTCCCCCACACCCCAGCGGCAAATAGATGGCACAGCCCTTGGTGATTTCTCAGTCCTCTGAGACCACCCTGAGGTATCTCACTGTTACTTTAATTTGCACTTCCCCAACCCCTTAATAAACTTGAGCACATTTTCATCTGCTTGCTGGCCATGGGCTTTGCTTTTCCAGCAACTGCATCCTCTTGGTACATTTTTACATGCTTTAAGCATGATGATTCCCACTTGCCCAGAACGGCCGGGGAAGGAGGTGCTTGGAGTTTATGGAAAGGTCTAAATAATAGAGAGTTCCTTCATCTGTTACACCCAGTTATGAGCTTTCAAAAGATGAGACTATAAGCACATACATGTAGTAACAGTATAGAGAATAGGGAGTGGGCTTTGGGGTCACTTATAAGCTGTGTGCTTTTGGGTAAGTTATCTAACCTCTCTGAGCCTCAGTGTGCTCACCTGTGAATCCCAGGCTTGCAACTGGAGATAATGATGATTGTGCCACCTGTCTCTTTAGAGTTGAGGAAGAGGTTAGCAGTAATTTATGTAAGTAACCTGGGACATCACAGATGGCCAATAAATGAAGTCAGGTATTTAAACTGGGATGATTAAAGTTTCCTGTGGACCCAGTGATCAGATGCACAGAAATTAGGGGTTCACAACCTTAGCACTATTCATATTTTAAGCTGGATCATTTTTTTGTTGTGGGTGGGGCTGTCTTGTGCCTCAGAGGATGTTTAGTGGAACCCCTGTTCTCCACCCACTAGATGCCAATAGCAGGCAGGCAGACACACACACACATATACACACACACACTGGTCATAATGATTAAAAATGTGTCTTCCCTATAGCTGTCCTTGAAATGCCCAGCCTGAGCGCAGGGGAGAAGGGGGACACCTACCAGGTGTCCTCCCCATATGTAGAAGCTGCCACATCTGCCCTCAAAGGTCTCATAGTTAAGTGTCCTCAGGCTGAACAGTCTGGGAGGCCAAGGAAGGAGGATCACTTGAGGCCAAGTTCAAGACCATTGACTTATCATTGATTCTTATTTCTCCAGCCAGTCAGACACCACAATCTGTTGATTTTCTGCATTTAGAACCTCCTGCACCTACCTGTCTTTTTCTCTGCATCGTTCTCAGCATTGCACATAAACGGGGGCTTGGTAAGGGAGAGAAGGATGTAGAAGATGTTGGGAGTTACGGTCAGGGATGCCCAGCTGGGCCAGGAGACACCACCCCGGGCAGGCACCGGAGGTGGTAACAGTTTTGTTTTGTTTTTTTTTTAATCAGTTAGGACTCTTGTTTACCCTTTGTACCCAGTGCTAGCCTGGTGCCTGAAACACAGTAAGCACTCAAAAATAATATGGGGGTTTGATTAATCAATTGATTAATTAATTAACTTGATACACACACACATTTGCATGCATAGAGATGGCCTCTATTTTTGCCATCCATTCACATACACATTACCTTTCATTGCAGAGACACCAGGTTACAAAGAAAACCCTCAAGGGTTTGCTGTTGACTTGAGCAGTGTCACTTGTAAGAAGGACAAAATATGTATGTGGTCAGCTCGAATCCCAGGCTTGCAACTGGAAATAAACTAACCCCTTGTTGAAATCGCTCAGGAAACCTGAGGGGAGGTGGGAGAGACGGGTGGCAGGAAAATGCCTGAGATCTTACACAACTTGTGCAAACAGAATGACGGGGCTAGGCAGCCCCGGGAGTCCAGGAATTAATAGCCCTGCTGAGGCTCCGGGGCTCCGGAGATGGAGCTATTTAAAGTCAAGAAATGTCATTTCCACCCACAGAGGCTGCTCTAGTTGCATTATCTGGAGCCTCTTCAGCCCTGGTGTTCCGAAAGCCTCCTGGTCTCACCTCCCAGTGGCAGGACTACGGGGCTTATGGCCAACATGTCATCATTGCTCTGTTGGAGGGTTGGGGAAGCTGACCTTAGCCTCTCCCCATTCCTCCTCTCTATTCTGGCCTAGTACAGGCTGAGTGGACACTTGGGGCCCATCTCACCCCTCTGCAAAGGCAACTAAGAGCACTAAGGCTGCTGCCCACATACAGGGGCCAGCCAGCCCAGAAGGGTGGGCCTAGGGTTGGGGCTGGGGAGAGATGGGGTCTGGAGACACAGACCCTTTCCTACCAAAATCATATTCTTGTCCTGCTGTGTGACCTCAGGACATTTGCTTACCCTCTCTGGACCCCCATTTCCTTACCTGGAGTGGAAAATGAGAGTCTTCCTCTCCTTGCCCTGTTTCTGGGGAAGGCCACAGGAGATCAGAGAAGGGATTTCTTTTGAACCTTTAGGAAGAAAAGCACCATAGAAATCCAGGTATTATCTGCAGCCCCTCCTCCCCTCCCTTCCAGGCAAGGTAATCCAGGAATGCTTCCTCCGGAGGCAAGAAGGCAGGAAGCTGGCGTTTGAAGTGTCAGTGGGCTGTAGACTGCATGACAGAGCCATCCAGCACCATGCTCCCGGGAGCCCAGGTTCACATTCTTGCCAGGCATCTAAGGCGACAACTCCCTCACATCCTGTCTGCTCTGATCTTATGTATCTGCTCTGGCTGATGCTGCTGCAGCTTAGGGCAGGTGGGGGGCTTAGAAGCCCAGACAATGTGCCAAAACCAAGTCTGCCCTGCAGGTGTCTAATGCCTAGGGATTGCTGGGCTTTTTTCCTGAAGCTGAGGCCTGGCCAGGAGAAAGCACAGTGGCGCTAAATGAGTTTCCAAGAGAGGTGTAATGAAATGCCAGGGACACCCCAGCCAGAAGTCTTCCTTGAATTCATTGCTGCTACCACCCAAGAGGTAAAAGGGAGCTAGGAGATGTCTTTTTTTTTTTCCTTTGGGAAACAGTAATGAAAATGCAGCCTTCTACTCTCTTAAGTCCCACTTCTCTTGTCATATCTTAGAACTTGACTGAAAGGTATGGATATTTTCCTCATTTAATTTTTTTTTTTTTTTTTTTTGAGACGGAGTTTCGCTCTTGTTACCCAGGCTGGAGTGCAATGGCGCGATCTCGGCTCACCGCAACCTCCGCCTCCTGGGCTCAGGCAATTCTCCTGCCTCAGCCTCCTGAGTAACTGGGATTACAGGCACGCGCCACCACGCCCAGCTAGTTTTTTGTATTTTTAGTAGAGACGGGGTTTCACCATGTTGACCAGGATGGTCTCGATCTCTCGACCTCGTGATCCACCCGCCTCAGCCTCCCAAAGTGCTGGGATTACAGGCTTGAGCCACCGCGCCTGGCTCATTTAATTTTTTAATTGAATTATTCTGGATACACTAAAAGGTATGTATCAGAATAGCCTAGATTATACTGCAGTAAAAGCCCCAGTATCTCAGTGGCTTGACACACTTTTGCTTCTGCTACTTACTGCTTCTCACTTCAGCTCTATGTCCTTTGTGGATGGGCAGGGGGTTCTGACCACTGAAATCACTTAGGGACCCAGGCTGGTTTCTCTTATCCACAGGAAACCACTGTCTTCGTTTTAAAAGACATGCTCATAAGCTCATGACAAGACAAAGCAGCCAGGTGCTTGGGCAGAAGGGCAAGGCCCATCATCTGAGGGCCCAAACACCTTAAGCCAAGCTCAGACAGGATGGTTAGAACCTTGGCTCAAAGGTGGTGGCCCCTCATTTGGAAGGCTCAGGGCAACAGCCATGGTCTGGTGAATCACCCTTGGGTAGTAGTGCCCCTGCATTCAGAAAGCCAACAAGAAGCCTTCAATCCTTCAAGTAAGCAGTTGGCAAGACTAGGCCGGGGGCAGGTGTATGAGGGAACTGTAATTGCAGCAGTATTAGTGGTGCCAGTAATCATATTAACTATAGCTTAACTAAGGAAATCAATCCACAAATGCATGTTGAACCCAGGTATCAGCAGGATGTGACTCCAGACTCTCTAAGGGATATGAAACGTTTTTTAAAAACCACCTTGGCCGGGCGCGGTGGCTCAAGCCTGTAATCCCAGCACTTTGGGAGGCCGAGGCGGGTGGATCACGAGGTCAAGAGATCGAGACCATCCTGGTCAACATGGTGAAACCCCGTCTCTACTAAAAATAAAAAAAAAAAAATTAGCTGGGCATGGTGGCGTGTGCCTGTAATCCCAGCTACTCAGGAGGCTGAGGCAGGAGAATTACCTGAACCCAGGAGGCGGAGGTTGCAGTGAGCCGAGATCACGCCATTGCACTCCAGCCTGGGTAAAAAGAGCGAAACTCCATCTCAAACAAAAACAAAAACAAAAACAAACACCTTAATCAAGGTATAATTCACATACAATAAAATGTGACCACTTAAAGCAGCAGTCCCCAACCTTTTTGGCACCAGGGACCAGTTTTGTGGAAGACAATTCTTCCACAGACAAGGAATGGGGTGAGAGTGGTTTCAGGATGAAACTGTTCCACCTCAGGTCATCAGGCATTAGATTCTCACAAGGAGCATACAGCCTGGATCCCTCACATGTGTAGTTCACAATAGGGTTTGTGCTCCTGTGAAAATCTAATGCTGCCACTGATCTGACAGGAGATGGAGCTCAGATAATGGTAATGCTCACTTGCCTGCTGCTCAGCTCCTGCTCTGTGGCCCAGTTTCTAACAGGTTGAGGACGAGTACCAGTCTGGAGGTTGGGTACCCCTGACTTAAAGTGTCCAGTTTGATGAGTTTCAATAAATGCCTACCTTTGTGTAAACAGCAGTATGATCAAGATACAGAACACTGATAAGAATATTTTTGAGATACTGCCACTTCTTTCAAGGAGTCCTTCATCTGCTATAAGAAAAAGATACATAAGAAAGATAGTCAACTATACAATGCAGGAAAGCATAAGTTTCAATCATTAGCACAGGCTATGAGGGCCGGGGCCTGGAGGGGGCAGCCAGCATCTTGGGAAATACTTGATCCTAATGCCAATATACTTGGGGCTGGAGGCTCTCCATCACCCAGAGAGAGCCAAGGCAGAGGCAGGCCAGGCACCACAAGACCTGCTTCTCCCAAAATATTTCATTGGCCTGAAATGCCACCATGAGTCACCCCTTTGGTTTAAAACATTTGGTAGTCCCTCTGGAATAGCCATATTAAAATGTACACAAATGACCCACAAGACAACCTTTGAGGTGTGTGGCAGTTTTACCTCCGCTGACATGTGCATGTAAAATTGGTTATCAGATTCTGCCACCTCAGGAAAGGGGAAGGCAGTATCTCCTTTTTTTCTTTTTTTTGAGACAGAGTCTCGCTCTATTGCCTAGGCTGGAGTGCAGAGGTGCGATCTCAGCTTACTGCAACCTCTACCTCCCGGGTTCCAGCGATTCTCCTGCCTCCTGAGTAGCTGGGATTACAGGCATGTGCCACCATACCTAGCTAATTTTTGTATTTTTAGTAGAGATGGGATTTCACCATGTTTGTTAGGCTGGTCTCAAACTCCTGACCTCGTGATCCACCTGCCTCAGCCTCCCAAAGTGCTGGGATTACAGGCATGAGCCACTGTGCCTGGCCATCTCATTTTTTTAAAAGCCTGTGAGAGAGTGATTTCCTTCTTTTAGGACATCTCTAATCATTACATGGAGGCAAGCCCCATCTGAAAGCTTGTAACATCCATCCTGACTCAGAAAGAAGGGGGATTTTGTTAGAATGAGTTCAGCGGGGATTTGGAAGAGGCCCAGCACAGGGGCGAGGGGAATATCCAAAGTCCATTGTCATTAGGGGCATTGGGGCACTGAAGGTTAGGACTATAGGCGTTTCCCCCTGGAAAAGGAAAGACTGCAGAGGTAGGAGATTGCTGTCCTCAAATATCTGAAGGGTGGTCGTGAGGTAAGAGGACTGGAATAGTTTGATGTGGCCTAGCTGGCAGTTGGGTGGGGAAAGCCAGAGGGTAGCAGGTTTTAGCTGAACGTAGGGAAGAACTTTCTTATGGTCAGAGTTAGAGGCAAGGGAATGGGTTGCCCCAGGAATCGGTCAGATCCCTGTCACTAGAGGCATGTAAGCTGAAGCCAGACACCCCTTAGCAGGAATTCAAGCCCTTAGGTCCCTTCCATCACTGAAATTCTCTAATTTGTTGACAATTTCATGGCTAGCCCTTAGTGAGCCCCAAACCAACAAATATTACTTGAGCAACTGTTTTGTACAAGGCAGGATGGGACTTGGAGACCAAGGAACAAAAGCCATGGCCTCTGGCCTGTTGTCTCCTGGGCAGGTGGTATGGGGCAGGGTGTATTTAGAATCACAGAAAGGAAAGAAAACACATGCTTTTAGGAGCTAGGCGTGGTGGCTCACGCCTGTAATCCCAGCACTTTGGGAGGCTGAGGCAGGCGGATCACCTGAGGTCGGGAGTTTGAGACCAGCCTGACCAACATGGAGAAACTCTGTCTACTAAAAATACAAAATTAGCTGGACGTGGTGGCACATGCTTGTAATCCCAGCTACTCGGGAGGCTGAGGCAAGAGAATCGCTTGAACTTGGGGAGGGGAAGGTTGTGGTGAGCTGAGATCATGCCGAGATGGTGCCATTGCACTCCAGCCTGAGAAACAAGAGTGAAAAGCTGTCTCAAAAAAAAAAAAAAAAAAAAAGAAAGAAAAAGAAAGAAAAGAAAAAGAAAACACATGAAAGAAAAGAAAAAGAAAACACATACTTTTAGATTTTAGAAGGAGGAGATCCTGCCAAATGCTAGAGTAGTCCAGGGAGGCTCCCAAGAGGAGGCAAGATGGGGGAACAAGCCCTGGGAGAGTCTTCAGAATGCAGACAGGTAGAAAGGGAGGGTCCCCAGAGCGGGGAGGTAGGAAATGATGAGGTGCCAAGCTGGCTGGAGGGATGGAACATGAGGAGATACACTGGAGTATCGGAGAGCGGCCTGAGGAGGCTGAGAGAAGACAGAGAGGAAACAGCCCTGGGAGGACCAGGAAGCGGGGCACAAGTCCGCGGAGGACAGGCAAGACCCACAGTGTGGCCCGGGGCCAGGGCATCACTGGAGTGCTGTGGGTGTGTGGAGTGGATTTCTCTTCCACCCCGAAATGTGCTGCAGACCACCAGGCACAGCCTCTCACTCCCTTCCCTCAGCTCTGCCATGGCCTTCTCCCTCAGGGCAGTGAGTGCTGGAGAAAGACAGGAAAACCCACAAAAATCTTCCAAATAAGACAAATATGTAGTGCAGACAAAGGCCGCGCTGGGTGGGATGAGGTTTCGGTTGCTCCCCAGTGGGGCGGACCCATCAAAGTGGCTTGTGGCCACAGAAAAAATGCGTCCTCTCTTGCTCTGGGTGGGGGTTCGTTGTCTCAGCTACCCCCAAAGAAAACCCAGGCTGGGGGTTCCCATGGCCAGGGAATTGGGTCCTCCAGGTCACCCACATGGCCCTGCTCACCCTTCAGCAGGGCATCCAGGCCTTCTCAGGGAACTGGGACACCCACTTTGGGGTGTTGGTGGGGCTGTTTTAAGCTGTCCCCCTGTTGCAGCTCCTGGACTTGCTGGTATGTGGTGAGTGTCCAGGGCATGGCTGGGATGGAAGGCACCTGTGCAGCCCCCAAGAATCTCATGAAAGTATTGGGGGGTGGTTAAGTGGTGCTTGCAATGAAGTCATGTGCCACCAGAAGCACCTCATTAGAGACGGGGGCCGGGGAGGCGGGGCGGGTAACAGAGGGTGATGGGAGGAGGCGGGGGAAGGCACTCTCCTCTGTCCCTTGTCTCCCCAATCCCCTCCCCACTCTCACACCCCTCCAGGCTCCCAGGCCCCTAGGGTTCATTCCATTTCTGCTCCATTTCCATGCCTGTTAATGGCCATTGTTCTGTGGAGAAAGACAAAAATGTTTTCAGTTTAGAAGCATTGTTTCGGACTTTCTCTCTGTGGGCCAAGGGCCTCGATGGGAAGCCTCTATTGGCAGAGTGGTCCCAGGCATGGAGAGGCTGGTTACACTGGGAAGTGGGGGTGGGGCAATGGGGGAGGAGGGCCGGATGAGAGGCTGAGTGGAGTCCTCTGTCCATCTGTGCTGGGCATGCATAGGGACCGCCCCCGAGAGAGGCCAGCCTCTTCTGTCTTTGGTCCCCTCCTGGCCCCCAGCCCCACCCCAGCTATTTTGGCTTTTCTCTTTAGGCTCCCTGACTTTGGATGGGTGAGCAGCTTTCTCTCTGTGGGCCTCAATTTCCTCGTCTGTAATATGAGAGGCTTCCAAGACTCTTCCTGCTTCTACACTTCTGAGCTCAACAGCTCAGTCACATCAACAGCCCTTTCTTTGCTCTAAGACTTCAGTGGTCAGAACTGGCCTAGAATTCAGGCAGTGGCTGAGTTGGTGGCCACCTGGGCAGCAGGCTTTGAGTGGGAAAGTACCTGCCTCTGGCACCATAAATGCCTTTGACTTACCTTGTGGTCTGGAATTCAATCACTAGAGAATCACTCTTCGGGGGCCTCTTTCAAATGCCATTTTCAATAAGGGGGGAGATAATTGCTAATACCCTCCAACAATGACTGAAAATAATCCTTTGCTTATATATTTCTCTTCACAATGTTGAAATCATTTTCGGCTATATGATCTCATTTGAGGCTGCAAACAACCCAGGGTTTAGCTGACCATTGCAAAGTTAAGACCCCAGAGGCTGTGACTCAAGATAAGAACTTGGACACAGGTGGCTTCCTTCCAGGAATTACCTGTATTTTAATGGAGGACTATCTTGAGGGTAAAAATATCACAAAGTAATGCTTCTCTGGTGGCAGGCATTTGAAGCCCTGAGACACCAGGCAGGCAAAGCTGTCTAGGGTGGCTGGGAATGAGGATGCTGTGCCCAGTGGGTGCATGCTCACTCAGCCCAGAGCCAGGCTGGGCCTGCCCAGTGCCTGCCACTGTTGTCAAATCAAGTGACCAGCCCTCAAGGGCTCACTAGACCCCTGGCAGGGACAAATCAGTGTGGGCAGGTACCTGGGTTCATAGGAAACACCCAGAGAATTATTCCAGGAAGTCGATAATCATATTTCAGAGTAAGGAAGCCAGGTTTGGTGACTCATGCCTATAATCTCAACACATTGGAAGGCTGATGCGGATGGATCACTTGAGATGAGGAGTTCGAAACCAGACTGGCTGACATGGTGAAACCCGTATCTACTAAAAATACAAAAAAATTAGCTTGACATGGTGGCAGGGGCCTGCAATCCCTCCTACTTTGGAGGCTGAAGCAGAAGAATCACTTGAACCCGGGAGGCAGAGGTTGCAGTGAGCTGAGATCATGCTACTGCACTCCAGCCTGGGTAACAGAGTGAGACTTCGTCTCAAAACAAACAAACAAAAACTGGTAAAGAATTGCCTGTGCAGGAAATAGCAAGGATGCTCTTTGTGCTCACACATTATAGGTGCGAGCCACCTCGCCCAGCCTTTTAACCAGTTATTTTTTATTCACCAAGTAATGAGCAGTAAGGGTTCTTCTTGTGCCCCAGCTTGGTAAGATGACCACAAGAGGCAGAAAGCATCTCTACACAGCAAAGTTTTTCTATAAGGGGCCATATACAGTAAATATTTGGGGTTTTACAGACCATATCATCTTGTTGTAACTACTCAACTATGGGGAAAGTAGCCATTAGCATTATATAAGTGAATTGACGTAACTATGTTCCAATAAAACTTTATTAAAACAGGAGTCAGGCCAGATTTGGCCCTTGATCCATAGTTTGCCCTTTGAGAAAGCAAGATTTACAGTTAAGTAATAGGGCATGGCCGGGCGCGGTGGCTCAAGCCTGTAATCCCAGCACTTTGGGAGGCCGAGGCGGGTGGATCACGA